AAACCTTGTTCCCAGACTATAGCCTCCCAATTCTACTCTTCCTTGTACAACTCTTATAAACTTTCTCATAATTTGGCCTTCAAAAGGGGGATTGAGAAGGGAGGGATGCACCTCCAATGAACCATCAGGACAGTAGTTCCGCGGCGCTGCCAACTAGGGAGAAAGACCATAGCGCGCTCGAAACGGGTCAAAATTCAACAATCAGAAAACATGTTGAGAAACGTAAACGGCAAAATACCATGCCTATCCCTCTAGCAACCAGATACGACCTTCTTCTGTTTCATACAAAGGATGGTGAGCCCTGTCCTGCCCCAGCGCTTGAAATGGGCAGATCCAAGAATCGGAAAAAAAACAAAAAATGAGAAGGCAAAATTTGACCTCTTTAGTCTAGCGGCCGAATATGATCCTTTACTTTTGTTTTGTGCGATGGATCGTGAGTCCTTTCTCTATCTCTGCCCCAGCCGCCAGCGTTTGGAACGGGGAAAAATTAAGATCAAGCAGCAACACAATTGCGAAAATACAAAAGGCAAAATTGCTTCCTCTCGGCCGCCCATGCAGACTTCCTTTCATTCATACGACTTCAAGGTAAGCCTGTCGTGGCCCCAGCACTGAACGGGAAAATTTAGCAATTACGATACGATTCCTCTTCTCCCTATTAGCAGAAATGCCTCTTTTCATATGATGGATCGTGAGTCGTGTTCCTGCCTCCACATCCTTCCCCTGTTCTTCGTTGCCCACAGTTTATTCCGTCCTGTCACCCCACTATGAATCTCTTAGTTTTTCTATTTCCCATTCAAGTATGACCTGAGCGGATGGTATATATTCCCGTCTGATGTACGCTAATTAGATTTCGCAGTTATTTTGGTTTTCAGTTACCCCATGACAACCTAATCCATAAATCTATTGTACAGCATGTCTAACCTTCTGTTCTACGTCAGTAGTGAACATTAGTCGTGATGAGAAAATAGTTATTACAAACAAATAAATAAGTAAGACCATGATAAAAATAATTTTATTGTGGGCTCCGAGAGTATCGCTTATGAGCAACTTGTTGACCTTATCGCATGACCTGAATATCACCGAGCTGGCGAGCTTTTGCAGGACCCTTTTCCCTAGTAAAGAATAGATACAATAAATTTGTAGTAACAAAACGGAAAAGGGGCAGCATTAACGGAACACAACATTATTCCAACAAAAGACTTCCTAAGTGGGTCGCATAGCTGTAAAGCAATTCAGCCACCCACGTCCCTAGGCCTACCACCGAAGCAATTGCCTACGTAGTCATAAACGTCACCAGTAAAAGGTATGAAGCACTTAACGTTGATTATTTCCATGCAAGAATGCTTCGAACATTCAACATTTACGTGGAATCGGATTGACAGTCGAATTCCTGCGTAGGCGTCATCTGCTGAAAAAATTGGTGTTTTTCCAACTCCCAGGCTGATATGTGGTGATCCTGAGACAGGACTGGAAGGCGGCTCTGATGACCTCAGTGGAACTCGATCTGAAACTTCCTCCTCCACGATCCCCTATATTTGACGATTCCACGCTTTTGGAACAAATGAGACGCCTTAGTTATTGCAGCTATTATGCATAGGTTAATCAAAAGCACTACTGAATTGCGAATCGACTGCTCCCACGGGGCAAAACCAAGATTAACGAACAATGATCCGGCGCTGTTTGTCGACGGGGGGCATTTTGTACTACCATTGCTTCCCTAGTTCCGGTTTACAAATCTCACCCTGGTAAAACTTGTGAACCCTTGTGAAGCTGGTGCAAGATAGTCTAGCCACCATCCTAAAACGTGTCAACTCGAGAAAAGGCTACCTAGATGGTCGGCACATCTATGGAAAGGCAAGAATCCCCCCCCGCCGTCGACAAACTGCGCCGAAATCTAGAAGACTACCTCACCAAATCAAGCAAGAAACCATATAGCGAGTTGAATCTGACTGTGTTCTGTAAAATTCTATTGAACAGACAGGCTGTTAGAACAGCAATTGATTTCTCCAGCTGAACTTACCCGAAGGAACTCCGAGGAACTAGGTTATCCGTTGAAAGCAAGCCAAAATCATAAGAGAAGTGATACAGCCGTCTCTGGCAACTCTCTGTACAATTGTTGCCCCCCCCCTACAATTTGGATTAGCCATTTCAATCTAGTCAAGTGCCAGCGCTCTACGACAAACAAACAGCTGCGTGATCGCAGTTGTCGTCTCTTTGTAACTATTACTATTTAACAATTATGTTGCAAAAGTGCACTCACAGCTCATGATGATGTGAAGGCTAGAAATTCATCTTAAGCGGTTCTCTCAAGGACATCGTCCATGGTGGTTATATGGGCGGGGTTGGATTCTCCATTGTGCACCCTTCATTAAGCGTCATTATTCTTCATTGACGTGTAGGCAAAAGACCAATGTGGAAGGCGCAGATGTAGTTCTGACTGGTCCCATAATCTCATTAATTGTTTCTTCAAAGGCTAGGGTTTGAGATGAGTACATTCTCTTGCTCTATTTATGGGCAAGATCCGTGACTCACTTATAAGAATTGAAGGTTCGGGTTGAGAGGCAGTGGGGACCGCAATGGACAACCTTGTAAAGTTTAGTGTTGCGAAGTTGTAAGGCAGGGATGCTATGGCCAGGGCACGCCGTCGTTGTGATAATCACAACAGGACGTATTTGACCGCGAGGGAGGGGGTCGTATTTGGTCTGAGGAAAATTTTTCTCATATGTTCTTCTTCGTATGGAAGGAGTGGCGTATTTTGTTTCTAGGGGATCGCAGCGTTGGGAAAGAAATTTTTCCCGGTGTTATACCCATTACGATTTTCCCCGTTCACTGTGTGTATATATTCTCCTAGGTTGGCGGGCCAGGGCACGGGGAGACGGAAACGGAGATAAAGAAAAAAGAAAAAAGGTATAAGAAACACGCGCGGCGATGGCGCCGTGCGTTTTCATAACTCGTTTTAACCTGTCGAATGAAGCACCGACTTCATGTAGACCCCGTCATCGTAGACACTCATTACTGTTTTCGGTCCTTAATTGCATGTTGTCGCCATCTACTGTCAAACCATCGTCCTTTGCGGCGCCGGGACGGTCCGCACGCGACGCCAGCGCGTGCGGCCAATTACGATCCTCTTGTCACATACTCCAGGGCACCAGGGCACATCGTTGTCGGGAAATCCCCAATAAGGGGGGGGGTCGTATTTGGGCTGGGAAAAGTTTATTTTGATAGTTGAATTTTTCTCGTGTTCACGGGATGTTGGTAAAGGGGGGGGATACTGGGTCACTGTTGAAGGGCGGAGGGGCGCGACTTATTAAATTCCCCAAAAAATGATGTGCCTTTGCTGGGCACTGCCCAAAAATTATACAACAACTATGTTTCGAGACTGAAAACAGTCGTTGGTTCCCTGACGCAAACTTCCCATCTAACTTTTATGGAGGAAATGCCGGGAAAAAGAGGGAGTTGGAAGAAAACCTAGATAAAGTGATAACGTAGATAGGGGGTTTTAGTTGATAGGTAGGATGGAGGATGGAATTAGGGGGGATCGCATTCTTGCAGGAATTTATCACGACGCGATGGCGTGCATAGGCTGGGGCTCAATACCCAATGACCCCAACGAATCTTCGTCTCTTGTTCTGAATGAGAGAGAGCCTGACTTGAAACGTTTCTGCATGTGGTTTCGTTTCTGCTTTCTTCCTCCGGGCAAGTCACATACACGTTCTCCTTCTATCCGCGATGGTCCTTCTGGGAATCTACCTTCATCTTTCGGGACTAAGAGAAGAACTAAACGCCGCCCTTCTCACCGAGTAGAATAATTTTTGAATGTTGAGAGCATTAGTGTTAATGCACACCAATGGCTTTATTGTTCACGATATAAAAAACTCGCTACTTTGAGAAAAGAAATAGAAAAGTCAAGAAATTGACTATGGAAAACTAGTTGGAATGCGTTATGAAATTCACATACTGTGCAGCGCTTGTACGTGCATAAGGCAACAAAGGGCCTGACCAGACGAGTACTCACTTATTGGTGACCGCTCGCTCTCTCTGTCACCTCATTCTCGCCTGCAAAAGCGGAGAGATTTAGGAGCGGAATAGCCGCACCATCAGACAGAAGTTGAAAAATGAAAGTTGAGAGCGCCACCGGTGGCAACGGGGGGAGCCCGTGATTTTCGGGATGTGGGCGGCCTTTCCCAAAGTTTTCACGAAGAATTGCTGAGTTATAGGCAAAAATTTTGTGAAAGCTTCGGATCGGCGATACTGCGCGCCCGTTAAACAGCAGTAAACAAAAACAGCCTTGAAACTGTGAAAAGCCTTCGGCCTTGCGGTTCACTGCCGATATCCGCTAACCGGCTCATCACGTTGAACGTGTGAGTGCTTGAAGGTAATGGCACAAATAGCAGTTGAGTGATTGGGTCAAAGTGGCCTCGGTAGCGTAATAGGGAACGCAGCTGCCCGGAAAGCAGAAGATGCGGGTTCGAATCCCGTCCGTGGTCCGACTTTTGCCCATAACTCAGCATTCTTGTGAAAGCTTTCGGATCGCGTACTGCGGCGTTAAACAGCAGTTAACAAACAAAAACAGCTTTCCAACAGTATTTCTCAAGTGCTAAGGTAGTGCATCCTCCATGCTTGCGAGCAGTTTACTACACCCAAAATCCGACCTTCATAAACACAGGGACCTGCCCTTCATTTAAAAGTGTAACTATCTGTCGATGGAAATAATAAGAGAGTGGTCCACTAAGTAATAGATGTGGGTAATAATATTATCACATAATGTTTCTTATACTATTTACGACTCGTTTCTTATAGAATAAAATGTGGGCGTACCAGGAAGCTAAGCGGATTATTCCAAGTTGCTCCTTATTACCACGCGAGACATTAATACAGCATATGACACAGTGCGTTTCCTTGTCGGCTTCGTATCTTTCTCGAAACTCTTATGAGTGTGAAACTGATAACAAATACCTGTACTACTATTACTCACACTTTAAGGGACGTGGACGAACAACATGCCGCATATAAGCATGACGGATTTCGCAAAAGGTACAGATGCCGTGAAGGATTCACAGGAAAACAGTGCCGTCGCGAAAAGAAGGCATTCTTCGTAAGTGGTTTTCGATTCTTTGGGGTTTTGACCGATTTAACACCACTGGCTCCCAAACCTAGATGCCGGGGTCGCGTAACCGCGTGTGCGTCCTTCATGCTGCAATGTCGTCACTTGTGCCTTTTTCCCCGAAGTCTTCTGTGAAAATCCTCTTGATCCCGTTCTTCTGCCTCTTCTTCTAGATACAGCCGGCCTATCAGCTGGCTCCGGACACCACCACTTTCACAAAAGATAGTTTTTGGTTTTCCTAAACCAGATATAAATTAGCCTGTTTTCTCAACCATTGATTGAGAGGATGTCCGTTGGGTTTCCTTAAAGATACGGCTAACGATGGCCTATAAGTATCTAAGTGTAGCTCTTCGGATAGGAAGATAGTGGGAAGGGGGGGGACTGCAAACGAAACAGCCTCTGCCCACAAGTTTCATCAAAAAGGGGTAAGGTAGCAAGTATTTCAGTAAGCCCACAAAGTCGCCACAAGTGGGATCCTGCCAACCAGCGAGTAACTCCGCCTATTTGGTAGATACCTTGTCGGTTGTCTTACTCGTCTGCGTACTCTCTCATCACTCTTCCCGAAACTACATCTATTTAGCGCTCAGCCCGAGTAGGGGAGCCTCATTTCGAGCGTTTCGACTCCTTCTTTGCTTCCCCTTCAACGATTTATTCAAGAATGAGTCCATAAGCACCTTTTCTTCTTCCATTGGCACTACACTTTTATTTCTAACCCCGATACCAATAAACTTTTCTCTGGCTCATCGCGTACCCTCTAACGAGGGGGGGGGGGGGGGGGGACGCATACGGTAGAGGGAAGGGGAAAGGGAGGGAGTCCTTCCAAAGCCCGTCTTCCCCTCGTTCGATGGCCAGTTTCTGGGGAAGTTTGGTAAGATGTCTGGTCGGTTATGGAAGGGGTCGTATCGAAGCACGATTTTTGGGCCGGCGGCTTGTATCTAGCAGAAGCTCCCCCAACTCCAGGTTGTGTCCCGACTTCACTACTTCAGCTTCTGTTCCCTGCTTCACAGTTGTTCCATTGATAACAGAATTTCTAGAGCTCACTTGGCATTGATCAATTTCCTCAAAGGCATGATTGGGCCTGGCTGCTTTTCACTACCGTTGGCGTTTCGCCAGGCTGGACTATGGGTAAGGACGATTCCATGATTAGCCAACCGATTTTGCAGTCTACTAGATTATGCAGTAGTACAGCATTTCAGACGGGTTTCGCGCTGGTCTTTTTCATTGGTCTACTCACATGCATTTGTATGGCAAAAATCGTACGATGCAGTCAGTTCTTGACGTCACGGTATGTACTCTATTAAAGGGAAATCATTATTATCATTGAGTTTGTTCTTTTATACTTTTTTGGAATTGAAATAAATTTCCAAGTACTTTGTAATTATTTGGCCGTCATGGGGTCTTCTTGTTTGAAACTGTTTTCAAAAAGGTCGGGCGTAGAAGATTTCAGGAAATTGCCGTGATCCGGAATGGCTGATTGTTAGGGGCGCGCTTTGAACATTATAATATGACGCAGCTTTACGATAATAGATGATTATTTATAGCGTGAATATAACTCTTCTTTGAATGACGGCTAAAAATACTAGCAATGCTTGAAAAGTAAAGCTGAAGCCGGCAGTTTGGCTCTGGTGTTGCAGGACTGATGGTCACGGAACTTGCCAGACAGCACGTATTCTTACTTCCTGATCCATTAAGACCGGGCTAGTAAACGCTGTCTGATAATGATGTCATCGGGTAATCATCTGTCAACATCAGCTGATAAGCGCCAACATTGAAGGAAATGTACTACTAATTGCTAAGTTTCCTTCGGAGCTGGGTTTCCCTTGAAAGAATAAGGTATGGTACTCGGTCTAAAATGTTAGCAGGGGTGCTATATAGTGGGAAAATGGACGAGAAAGCGGAGTGAAACGGTCAAAAACCAGCAAAAAGCCTGTTCACACGACTCAGAAAACAATTTTGGACGAGTTACCCGTTGGCATGCCAATACGGTAGATACGGCTGCATGTGTGTGCTCACTATCCGTGCAGCACCGCAGCCGCTTTATATCAATCCCTTCGCTTCATATTGTACTTCACAAATGAAGTGATACAAGCATCAGATACGGTCGTCCATCTGTGGGCGGGCGGACGCGGTAGGCGCCGGGGTCGGCATGCTGCAGCTTGATAGGGCGCTACAAGGGTACCTTCCATGAGAAAGGCACCACGCAGCCCCTGCTCAGGGGCGCCAATTTCGATCCAGGTAAGCGTGTTAATCCTACACGTCTTAGGGATTTCGTGCCACTTGCCTCTGAAAGACAAATTCCGCGATTGCATTTGTGGGCAGTGGTGCTCAATAATGAACCTATGGTACTTAAGTCACTTCAAGAAGCAAAAAAGAATAAAGTTATCGAGAACGGCCTAAAAGAGGACCTTTTGGCAGCCTTACTGCACGAGTTTCATGTCAAGAAAGCGATATCCAGCCGCCTCTGACTCATTATGTTTTCGCGTAATCGAGTGCGGAATACCACTCACAAGAGAAAGAAACGAAAAAAAACGGATAGAAACGAATTCGTGACAGATACGGCCTTAAAGTGCGCCCTGGGCGAATGCAAAATCGCATTTCGAGAAACGCGCTATCTGACGAGAGACGGGCAAGAGAATCGCAAGTCGCCGCGCGCGGCGCGCGGCGTCTTCTTAACTCGCGTCGATTGGAGCACCGAAACTTCATGTAGACCCCGTCATCGTAGACATTCATGACTATTTTCGGTTCTGAATTGCCTGTTGTCATCATCTACTACCTGGAACCATCGTCATTTGCGGGCGCGACGTCGCACGCGACGCCCACCAGCGCGGTGAATTACGATTCTCTTGCCGCATACCCCTATCTAATGGTCTATTGCACCAATTACATTATTGATGAATTGAACGCATCTTACCTTGCGGGATGAGATGTTGATTGCATGTGCTTCTCACGAAAAAGGTAATAAAAAAGAACAGAATTACTTATAAGCACACGAACACAGAAAAATGGACACGCAATTCGGATTTATGCCCGCCGCTCCACCAAACAATAACTGAGCGTTTCTGCGTTAATTGGAAAGAGGACATTTTTAGGTAGGCGGTCCAACTGAGCAGGTGTCAGAACTTGAACTTATGACGGCTGCACCACCCTCACTGTCACTCACTGTGGGCTCGTGAAGGTGGGACAGTCCTCGAGCCTGCAGGGTAGACTAATTGGGCAGAGAAGGATGTCCTTTAATCGGTTGAGCGCGGGTCTGTCCTTGGAAGGGGAACGTCAAATATGTGTCTAGAGCTTCCTGGAAAGTGAGAGGTTAGGCGAATGAGAGGCAGGAGAATTCGGAATTCTTTATATAAAGGGTGCTTGAGCGGGGTAGGTGGGAGGAAGAAAGGAGGTTCATTCTGAATGACCGAGTTTTCCTGATCGCTATGACGTCTTTTGCTAACTTCCGGTACTTGTGAGACCTGTGAATGTACGCACTCTTGGAAATAGACAAACAAAATTCAAAATTGCCCATGTGGGAGGAGCGAGAGAGTTCCGGCCAAGCACAAGACTAGAATGAGCATAGCGTAAGGTTCTGAAGAGCTGACTTCTCCATACCAGGCTTGAACTGCTCACAATCGCTCGCTGAGGATTGAGTACTCCTTATCCCTGAGCCAGAGTAGGCGTGGCATTCAAACATGGCATGGAACTAGTTACTCGTGGAATATTCCAGTCTGGGACAACTGTC